AAACATCCCACCCTTGCCTTCTCCCACAGAGTCCAAGAGTCTGTTCTATACATTTGTGTCTCTTTTTCTGTTTTGCATATAGGGTTATCATTACCATCTTTCTAGATTCCATATATATGTATTAGTATGCTGTAATGTTCTTTATCTTTCTGGCTTACTTCACTCTGTATAATGGGCTCCAGTTTCATCCATCTCATTAGAACTGATTCAAATGAATTCTTTTTAACGGCTGAGTAATATTCCATGGTGTATATGTACCACAGCTTCCTTATCCATTCGTCTGCTGATGGCCATCGATGTTCTTCCATGTCCTGGCTATTATAAATAGTGTTGAGATGAACATTGGGGTGCACGTGTCTCTTTCAGATTTGGTTTCCTCAGTGTGTATGCCCAGGAGTGGGATTGCTGGGTCATATGGCAGTTCTATTTCCAGTTTTTTAAGAAATCTCCACACTGTTCTCCATAGCGGCTGTACTTAAGCTAGCTCTTTCATTCTCTTTCACTCTCATCAAGAAGCTCTTTAGTTCCTCTTAACTTTTTGTCATTAGAGTGCTATCATCTGCATATCTGAGGTTGTTATGTTTCTCCTGCCTATCTTGATTCTGGGTTGTAACTCATCCAGCCCTGATGCCATCAAGGTGTATATTATGTCAGCAAATCTGGAAGACCCAGCAGTGGCCACAGGACTGGACAAAGTCAATCCTCATCCCAATTCCCAAGAGGGGTGATACTGAAGAATGTGCTAACCATCAGGCATTCACCCTCAGCTCCCATGCAAGAAAGGTCATGCTTAAAATCTTGCATGCTAGGCTTCAGCATTATGCAAACCAAGAAGTTCAGATGTCCAAGCTGGGTTTAGAACAGGAAGAGGAACTAGAGACCAAACTGCCAACATTTTCTAGATTATAGAAAAAGCAAGGGAATTTCAGAAAAAAAGATCTATCTATGTTTCATTGACTATGCTAAAGCCTTTGACTGTGTGGACCATGATCAAAGAAATAGCCCCATGAATTCCAAAGTTATTTGATATCACATAAAATAAAAATTAATACACATATTTGAGATGAAGCATAATCAGATACATTTCAATTGCACATAGATGAAGAAAATGTACAAACATAAATTTCAGTTATGAACTGATGAAAGTGCTTATCTCTATTTTTATATTGAGTTGTTTATATTGTGATGCAAAATGACAAATATAGAAATCATAAAAGCTTACATTTTCAGGGGAAAGGAAAAGAAATTTCATTGTTAATATCTTAATATCCAGAATACAGAGAGACTATGGATATTTCTTAACTGCAGCAGTACTGTGTTGTTAACTACAGCTTGTCACCAATTTTGCATTTTCCTGCTAAACCCAGATCCTTCTTTGACCAGAATTTCTGTCATCTATGATTCCATTCAAGTTCATTTAACTGAAATTCTTTTTATCATCTTTAGGCAAACTGAAAATCCTTGATTTCATTTTATGGCAAATTCTCTATTTTCATGAATCAACTTTTGAGTTTCAACATGGCATCACAGCCACGAGATTCCACTAATTTGATATATAGAAATGGTTTATTATATAGAAATTACATAGAAATAGGTAACTAGTACATAAATTGAGTGATACTATAACACAAACCTAAAATACATAGCATTAACTTTGAGATAAGGTGGCAGATGGAAGCCAGAAGGACAGTGAGAAGATTATCAGGGAAAACAGGAAAAATACTAAAGAAATGGTTTTTGAGGACTGGAGAAAAGAAGACTCAGAATAATTATTGTGGGAACAATAAGGCTAAATACCACCTGCAGTAACTTTGAAGATAGAAAATATACCTACAAACTTGTGGATCTGACTAATGGGATTTCCAAGCAAACAGTTGACAGTATTATTTGTCATCTTTTAGTTACACATAACATGATATTATGAGAGATAAACTAAAGGAACAGTCCCGTTTTCAAGTACAATTTAGAGGGTACATTGTTAACAGAAGACTTGCTAGGTTGGAAAATAAAAATTTCACATTTACAGCATCTCCAGCTGGCAAAAGATTTTCCAAGTAAAAATACTGTCTCAAGAAAAATAACAAATTCAGAATGGTGTCTGCAAGTCAAGATCAAATCAAAGAGGCAGTGCTAAGACATGCTATTAAGATTTCAGAAAGATTTAAGAGATCCTCTCAATTATATGAAAGTTCTAACAATCTTAAAGGCATACTATGGCATCCTAACTCTTATGGAACACTGGAGACAGTGTCCTATCTTGAAAAGATTTGTGCATATGTAACTTAAGAAGATGAGTTTAATTTGGTACACAGAAATCTCACAAAAAATTTTGAGAGCTGTAGCAATTTAAAAGTGGTAGAGAGTTCAACCAATAAGTTATATTACCACACTCTATTTCAAATTGCCTATCAGGCTCTTACTAGTCTACAGCTCAGTATTATTTTCAAATGATAATAAACACAATTTTTTTTAAACAAGGTAAGCTTTTAAATAGCAATCATTGTGCCAAGGTCATTTTATATAGAGTTGGTCAAACAGATGTCACAGAAAAACCCAATAAACTTTTTGGCCAACCCAATATAATATCCCACTCACTCCTCAAAACAAAGAAGCAAAAAACTTTTAAGACATTCAAAAATTTTGATCCACACCTATATTTTTATTCCAGGAACTTTATCACAAGTGGAGGTGACATACTTATATGGTGATACTCAGAGTAATACTATTTATTAGAATAAAATCATGGAGGAGCCTCAAAGTTTAATGGAAGAGGAATGGTAAATTGAGACTCTTTCACATAATGGCATGTAACAATTAAATTAAAGCATGTGGCTGACTTTATTTTGGGGGGCTCCAAAATCACTGCAGATAGTGATTGCAGCCATGAAATTAAAAGACGCTTACTCCTTGGAAGGAAAGTTATAACCAACCCAGACAGCATATTAAAAAGCAGAGACATTACTTTGTCAACAAAGGTCCGTCTAGTCAAGGCTATGGTTTTTCCAGGGGTCATGCATGGATGTGAGAGTTGGACTATAAAGAAAGCTGAGCACCAAAGAATTGATGCTTTTGAACTATGGTGTTGGAGAACCCTCTTGAGAGTCCCTTGGACTGCAAGGAGATCCAACCAGTCCATCCTAAAGGAGGTCAGTCCTAAGTGTTCATTGGAAGGACTGATGCTGAAGCTGAAACTCCAATACAGTGGCCACCTGATGCGAAGGGCTGACTCATTGGAAAAGACCCTGATGCTGGGAAAGATTGAGGGCAGGAGGAGGAGGAGACGACAGGATGAGATGGCTGGATGGCATCACTGACTCAATGGACATGCTGCTACTGTTGCTGCTAAGTCGCTTTCAGTCGTGTCTGACTCTGTACAACCCCCTAGATGGCAGCCCGCCAGGGTCCGTCATCCCTGGGATTCTCCAGGCAAGAACACTGGAGTGGGTTGCCATTTCCTCTCCAATGCATGAAAGGAAAAGTGAAATTGAAGTCACTCAGTCATGTCCGACTCTTGGCGATCCCATGGACTGCAGCCTATCAGGCTCCTCCATCCATGGGATTTTCCAGGCGAGAGTGAGTACTGGAGTGGGGTGCCATTGCCTTCTCCACAATGGACATGGGTTTGAGTGGATTCCGGGAGTTGGTGATGGACAGGGAGGCCTGGTGTGCTGTGGTTCATGGGGTCGCAAAGAGTCAGAAACGACTGAGCAACTGAACTGAACTGAGTCAATATAATCATTACCTTCATTGTTAGAGTAAGAAACTAAGGATTGGTTAGGTTATATTGTCCAAAGTCACAGAGAATTTGGTAGGTGAAAGAGTTCAACCCTGGAATTATGACTACAGAAAACCCACTCTCATGCACTGTACCACCTCCCTTATATTGGATCAAATTACAATTTATACAAGAAAGTGAACACTACTATATCTTATGCATTGCAGAACACATCCTACTTGTAGTCTTGTAAAAAGTATTACAAGATTTACATGGAAGCATACCCCTAGAGTGGACATGTGCTCAACTGGGTGTGTTCCCAGAGAAGACTATGGGGTTCCCAACTCAGCCTTAGCCAGACAGTGGACCCCTTTGTCCCAGCTGCCACCATATTGCCTGTTTCAGTACCCATGAGCTTTATCTGGTTCCAGATGCCAGAGAGAACAACAGGTCATAGGAGTGCATCTTTTATGTGAACGAAGCTTCATAAGACCCAAGAAGGCTTGCTGGTTTGCACTGAATAAGGCAGATCTTTAGCTACACTGTCTCAAATAAATGCCTTTATCAAAAACTTGCTTTACAATTTTAAATAGGTACTATACATTTTTTGCTTTGTCAAAAAAACAGAAGCAGCAGAAAAAAAAATGATGGCAATAAAAAAAATCTACATTAATGAAGAGCTATAGCTGAGATCGGAGACACACACAAAAGTAAAAAATCCTAAGCTATGGTTCCCATAGCAACTACAACACAGTTGGATTTCACTTTTATGTTAAGTAAGTTTAACTTGAGTGAGAATGCAAAATACTTCCTCCAAGCCAAAAAAAGAATTGTGAAAGACACAAAGTGGTCCAGACTGTTCTGGCTTTCAAGTATGTCAAATATTCACCCTAATATGTATTGACATTTTTACATTAATACTATATGTTCATTTGTATTGATTTTAAACTAACTTTATTCAGTTAACAAATATACTTATTTAAAATGGGAAAAAGTTCCATTACAATCTGTTAAATTGGAAAACATGGCTTTATAATTTTTTGCATAGCATTTCTTTTGTCCTTGTAATTACAAAAGAATATTTGCTGAAACCATTTATTGGTACTCACTGCCAAGTGCTTTAAATTTGACAGTTTTTTAATTACTGTAGCTATAACATGAAAGTATATAAACAAGTACATGGTACTTTAAAGAGAGAGTTTACAAATAATTTTCAAGACATATATAGTTTGCATATTTTTTCTCTATTTCAATAAAATTTTTAGAAAACAGGAAGGGTACTTACTCCTGTTATGTAACGAGGTCTATATTGAATGGTTCCAAATAAACCAAGAATGACGATAATAATATGTACAAAATTTGCCAGGATAGGTGCCCACTGATATCCAAGGAAGTCAAATATTTGCCTCTCCAGCACACAAACCTAGAAGAGCAAAATAGGATATATAGATAAGCACAGTGATGAGAGAAAAAAGGATCACATTGACATGATAATTAGCAACTATAACTGTGTTACCATATCTGGCATTTGTCTTTAACAGTGAGAATGACATTTTGGGGTATATTTCAGAGGAAGACTATGGGAGCTATGGATCCCGAGACAGCTGCAATCCCTTCAGGGATGATCCTGTGGTGGCATCAAATAGTATTCGCAGGATGTCATCTGTGCAGTCACAAGATAAATTATATTGTCATATGCACTGTCAAACACTTGAAGTCATCAACCAGCAAGCTTGGGGAATGACGTCCACATGAAGGGTTTGTTGTTAGAATCTGCTCAGATGTCATCGTATAAGTTGGGAATAGAACAAACGGGGTTGATGGAGAGGAAAAAGAACTCTTCAGCAAGTCAAGAGACCAGACTTTGGATGTTGATCTGTCACTAGACAGCTGTAGTGCCCCAGGAAGTCATTTCTTTTCTCTGGGGTCTGATTCCTTATTTGTAAAATGTAAGACTTTGACGAATGTCTAGGGTCCTTCTAACCTTAACAGGATTAGATTATAAATCAAATGTGACTTTTTTTTTAATCATATCCAGTTATCTACAGTAACCAGGAAAAAAGGAGGGCCCTAAAAGAAACTTCAAATAATGGACAACAAAAATAAACCATCACTGTTTAAAAACAAGAAACAAGGCATTTCAAATTCTTCTATATTCATCTGTGCTTAGAAATTTACAATTAAGTCATATGTAAAAATCTAAACAGTGGGAGGAAAAAAGCAAAACCAATCAACCAACCGACTCACCAAAAAAAAGACCCCTGAGACTGACCAGTAGTCCAGAAGTGCCGTTTTATATCAAAAAATGAAACTTGAATAGCTAGCAATTCTCTCATCAGATCTAACAAAGCAAAGGGAACAGCGTGAATTAAACTCAGTTGTATGTTTCCTGCCTGCCCTCAGGTGGAATGACATCAAACTAAAACATTGTAAACAAACCTGATGTTAAGCACAGGCATTCAACAATTGGTTTTCAGCTAGCATTTAGAAGAAAATGATTTTAAAACCCCTAAGTCACTAACTATACTTTATCACTCTGCTTTAATACTTCTTGTCAAAAGGACACCCTAACTCTTCAAACAGACAATTTGCTTTTAAATTAAATACCTGTAGCCTAGTTTGAAGGCTTCTAGAATGATCATTATTCCCACTGCACTCCTTTAACTGACAGCATATTTTCTCATCAGGCATTGAAGGAGAAAATAAACTCATGACAACTGTTGGCATAACACCTCTATTTCCTAAGACACACCAGGTACCGTGTTATACTGTAACAGTAATAGTCCAGCCTAATAAAATCTGAGGTTTCACTTAGTCTCGGCAGTGAATTAAAAAAAAAAGAGAGAGAGAGAGAGAATCTCGGATCTATATTCTATCCTACATATTCTAAATACAAAATACCTACCAGAGTCCCAGCAGTGGAATATATTCTGATTGATTAACAGTCTGTCATGGAATATGCACATAACCCAAGCCTCATAAACTCTGAAATGTCTCCTGATGAAACACTCCTTCAACTGTTTCCATGCAGTCAACACTTCTTATGAAGAGGCCCATTTGTGATGTTAAGCAGTATTACATGTGCCTTGTTGGAATCCATCAATGTTACCAAAAGATAAGTGGATGTTCTCAGCATTGCTAATCGTCTATATAAAAGCTCCTTCTAACACAGAACTCTCTTATCCTTATCCTATGAATAAACAGTAAGTAGAAATGTGAAACAGCAGCAAGAAGCATTTAAACTCTATAAATTTTGAGCATCATAACTGTGGGGACACAGCAGGGAAAAAGTATAGAGGATGAAGCACATCATTCAAACAGTGGGAAATCTCTCAATAAATGCTCCAATTATGGAACAAAAGAGCAAGCACCATCGTTAATTATAAAAAATATATAGATGATAATATACTCACTAAGACTGCAAAGCTAAAATGAAGTTGCATCAACATTTATCAGCTTCTTTTTGTGACACAACTAATAGTTCCATCAAACATTACTTACGAGGTTATGCAGACTGAACAAGCTAATGTGCAGTTTTTCACTTATAGCATTTCTGCTATTATAGTATTTCACTTATATAGTATTTCTCCTCTTTTTGATAGGGTTTTTAGTCATCATAAGAAGCTCTATCACAGGTTCTATTTAGAGCAAGGGCCAAAGAATTGAAGATTTCAGTGCATGCAAAGGGAATAATAATTTATAAAGTGGGTACAGTCTTTCCTAAGAATTCTTTCCAAAAGGAAGTATATTAACTATGAAATTACAGGGAAATTGTGGCACTAGAGGGAAGAGAATATTTTCTTTTTTAATTTTTTAAAATTTAAGTGTACTTGATTTATAATGTTGCATTAACTTCAGGGGTACAGCATAGTGATTCAGTTATGCACACACACGCACAAAAATATATATATTCTTTTTCATATTATTTTCCTGTATAGGTTATTATGAAATCATGAGAATAATTCCCTGTGCTATACAATAAGTCCTTGCTGATTATCTATTTTATATTTATTAGTGTGTATGTTCATATTAAGCTCCTAAATTATTCCCTCATCCTCTTTGATAACCTAAATTTGTTTTCTATGTCTGTGAGTCTTTTTCTGTTTTGTAAATAAGTTCATCTGTATCTCTCTCTCATTTTTTTTATTTTAGATTTCACACATAAGCAATATCATATCTTTGTCCAACTTACTTAGTATGATAATTTCTAGGTCCATCTATGTTGCTACAAATAGCAATATTTCATTCTTTTTTATGGTTGAGTGCTATTCCTTAAACCACTTACTACAGGTGAGGCATTTATACTATTCCCTGGTCATATATCACTTCATTGAATCTGCACAAAATGCAGAGAGATAAATATTACTGTCTTATTTTTTGGACTAAGAAATAGAAGATGTATTATGTCTAAGAGATTCTCCTACAGTCTCAGAAGTGGTAAATGGTCCAAGAGGAATGTAGGCCTATGGGTATGGCCAGTGCGGTGTCTCTATTTTTGAACTCTACACAACTAGTCCAAAAAGAAAATTCTTTCACATTGTGTTGGAGGCCTATGCTGGGTGTAGGATATATGCGACTTTTTCACCTTCTTTATTTTAGAATAGCGTAGAGAACTTCTTTGATCATGCCTATCAGCTTACAACATCAGATTTATCATCGTTGGTCAAGGCAGAGCTCCTTTTTATTTTATTTTCTAAGAAGACTGTACAGAAGGACATCACCAGATGGTCAATATCAAAATCAGATTGATTGTATTCTTGGCAGCCAAGATGGAGAAGCTCTATAAAGTCAGCAAAAATAAGACCAGGAGCTGACTGTGGCTCAGATCATGAATTCCTTATTGCCAAATTTAGGCTTAAATTGAAGAAAGTAGGGAAAACCACTAGACCATCAGGTTTGACCTAAATCAAGTCCCTTACAATTATACAGTGGAAGTGACAAATAGATTCAAAGGATTAGATCTGATAGAGTGCCTGAAGAACTATGGACTGAGGTTTCTGACATTGTCAGGAGACAGGGCTCAAGACCATCCCCAAGAAAAATAAATATAAAAAGGCAAAATGGTTGCCTGAGGTGGCCTTACAAGTACTTGAGAAAACAAGAGGAGCAAAAGACAAAGTAGATAAGGAAAGAGATTCCCATTTGAATGCAGAGTTCCAAAGAACAGCAAGGAGAGATAAGAAAGCCTTCCTCAGTGATCAGTGCAAAAAATAGAGGAAAACGATAGAATGGGAAAGAGTAGAGATCTCTTCATGGAGAAGGAAATGGCAACCCACTCCAGTATTCTTGCCTGGAGGATCCTGTGGACGGAGGAGCCTGGTGGCCTCCAGTCCACAGGGTCGCAAAGAGTTGGACACGACTGAGCGACTTCACTTTCACTTTCACTTTCAGAGATCTCTTCAAGAAGATTAGAGATACCAAAGGAACATTTCATGCAAAGACGAGTGCAACAAAGGACAGAAATGGTATGAACCTAACAGAAGCAGAAGATATTAAGGAGAGGTGACAAGAATACACAGAGGAAATATACAAAAAAAGATCTTCATGACCCAGATAATCACGATGGTGTGATCACTCACCTAGAACCAGACACCCTGGAATGCGAAGTCAAGCAGGCCTTAGGAAGCATCACTATGAACAAAGCTAGTGGAGGTGATGGAATTCAGTTGAGCTATTTCAAATCCTAAAAGCTGATGCTGTGAAAGTGCTGCACTCAATATGCCAGCAAATTTGAAAACTCAGCAGTGGCCACAGGACTGGAAAAGGTCAGTTTTCATCCCAATCCCAAAGAAAGGCAATGCCGAAGAATGCTCAAACTACCACACAATTGCACTCACCTCACACACTAGCAAAGTAATGCTCAAAATTCTCCAAGCCAGGCTTCAACAGTACATGAACCATGAACTTCCAGATGTTCAAGCTGTTTTTAGAAAAGGCAGAGGAACCAGAGATCAATGGCCAACATCTATTGGATCATTGAAAGAACAACTGAGTTCCAGAAAAATATCTACTTTTGCTTTATTGACTATGCCAAAGCCTTTGACAGTGTGGATCACAACAGACTATGGAAAATTCTTCAAGATACGGGATTATCAGAAGGCCTGACCGGCCTCTTGAGAAATCTGTATGCCGGTCAAGAAGGAACAGTTAGAACTGGACATGGAACAAGAGATTGGTTCCAAATCAGAAAAGGAGTGTGTCAAGGCTGCATATTGTCACCCTGCTCATTTGACTTATATGCAGAGTACATCATGCAAAATGCTGGGCTGGATGAAGCACAAGCTGGAATCAACACTGCCAGGAGAAATGTCAGTAACCTCAGACATGCAGATTAACCACCCTTATGGCAGAAAGCGAAGAAGAACTAAAGAGCCTCTTGATGAAGTGAAAGAGGAGAGTGATAGAGTTGACTTAAAACTCAACATTCAGAAAACTAAGATCTTGGCATCCATTCCCATTACTTCATGGCAAATAGATGGAAAACAGTGAGAGACATTTTTTGGGGTGCAGGGGCAAAATCACTGTAGATGGTGACTGCAGCCATGAAATTAAAAGATGCTTGCTCCTTGGGAGAAAAGCTATGACCAGTCTAGACAGCATATTGAAAAGCAGAGACATGACATTACCAATAAAATCCATCTAGTCAAAGCTATGGTTTTTCCAGTAGTCATGAATGGATGTCAGATTTGGACTATAAAGAAACCTGAGTCCCAAAGAATTGATACTTTTGAACTGTGGTGCTGGAGAAAATTCTTGAGAGTCCCTTGGACTGCAAGGAGATCAAGCCAGTCTATCCCTAAGGAAATCAGTCCTGAATATTCACTGGAAGGACTGATGCTGAAGCTGAAATTCCAGTACTTTGGCCACCAGCTGCGAAAAACTGACTCATTGGGAAAGACCCTGATGCTGGGAAAGATTGAAGGTGGGGGAAGAAGGGGATGACAGAGGATGACATGGCTGGATGGCATCACTGATGCAATGGACATGAGTTTGAGTAAACTCCAGGAGTTGGTGATGGACAGGGATGCCTTGGCATCCTTCAGTCTGTGGGGTCGCAGAGTCATACGTGACTGAGTGACTGAACTCACTGACTACTGACTGAAATTGTCTCCTTCAATGCATGCTTTCAATGTTACTCCTTGCTGGTTCCCTGGACTCTCCTACTTTATACTCTCTGAACACCTGACATACAAATATATGCATATAGCCTTGATTAACATTATTACTGTGTGTGTGTGTGTGTGACATTTTCAACTAAAAAACACTTTAGGGAATAAATCTCTTTCATGTTTGCCTGGTAGTGGTGGTGGTTTAGTTGCTAAGTCATCTCCAACTCTTGGAACCCCATGGACTGTAACCTGCTAGGCTCCTCTGTCTTCTGTCCATGGGATTTCCCAGGGCAAGAATACTGGAGTGGGTTGTTGTATCCTATGTCTATTGTGCTGTATATAAATTCTGGTTTTTGGTCGTTTGGCTTCTGCACAATAGCCCATTATAAATGCACAACTTTTTTCTCTCCACAAAGAATGCAAATACTATTTTTGAGGCTTTTTAAAAGCATAAGTTGGGGCTATTCTTTATCAACTATTAAAACTCTTATCTCTGCATCTGAGATCATCACTGTCTTCTTTTCCTTTAGATCATCAATGTGATTGATTGTATTGACAAGTTTTCTCAGGTTCCATTAACATTTTTTCCATGGGAAAATCTTTATTGAAATGGAATACTATTTTATCACATTTTCAGTTTGGTTTAAATACAAACTTACTTAGAGTTTTGTATTTATAAACTGATGGATAATTCAATTTTCTTTTTCTCTCATTCTCCGACTTTGTTATGAAGATTGCACTGACCTTGAAACCTAGGTAAGGCTCAACATTTATTTAGACACTTAACAAACTTTGAAGAAACCAATCAATTCTATGTTTTATTCCCAAAAGCAACCTGTGTCAACTTAGGGAAAAATGGTAAAGTTCATAGATTTTCCTAAATTTTTAGGTTGGTGCCAGCATACAGGCATATATCTTCTGTGTGCACATATATTCTTTTCTATCATTTTATTTACATAAATGTGATTGCAATGTAAATATGACCTTTCACTTGCACTTCCTACTTAGTAATGTGTTGTAGAGGTTTCTTTACATCAACACATTCTGTTTTCATAGCTCTACCTCATTTTACCCTTATTTAGACATTCCATTTTTAAAGTCTTTTAAATTCTGTTGGACTTTAACATACACAAGTTGTATTAAACAGCTTTGTATATGTGTGTTGATACATCCACAGATATAAAATTGGAAATGGTGGGTCAAATTCTAGTTGTATAATTTCAAATACTGTAACAACTGTTACTCTTTGGCATGTTTGTATGTACTAATACATAGACATGAAAAATACTTTTCTCTTCTGCATGATTTTAAATGTGAATTCTAATAGTATTGTTAGTTTAGTCAAGTATGCTTATGCTGAAAAGTTTTCAAAAACCTTTCTGATAATACCTTTAAGTAAAATTTATATTATTTTCAATGGCAATAAATGTTCATAAAAAGTACCAGTGTGATGTCTTCCTGATAAATAAACTGACTTTTCAAGCTGGAAGAGACTCATTCCACACTCGTCAATTTATGTCTGAGAAAATTGCGTTCCATTATGTTAATAGTTTGTTAAACTAAGTTTGACCTCTTAATAGGAGAATATTCAGTCTGAAACAAATATGCTTCAGTGTTTGCAAGGCAAGTGGAAAATGTTTCTGTTTCTTTGCTGGATATTTCCATTTAATTTTTTATGAGGAAACTGATGGATACATGAAAATATATGTATTTTTTAACACTTAAATTGTACACTTAGGGTTAGCTGTTTTCAATTGGTGGGGTGTGGAACTAGTTTCTTTAAGATGCATTTTGCTAAAGACAACAATGATTTCTTAATAAATTTTTCTCCCAAATATTGACATTATTTTCTTATGTTTGTAAATTTTAATTTCAGCTACACAAATAATATAAAATAAAACCTATTTATGACCTTTGATAGAAAAATAGGCTTTTTTTCCTATTGCATTAGAACATGAACTCCTCCATTAGGGGAAAAAATGGTGTTAAAGGTTAGAAACAACCATAAATTTCTACAGCAAAATTATAAACTGAAATTGAATTGAAATTGCACTTATATATGAGTATCCTTTTCTCCTCTTTGTATGTCTCTGCTTTCAGTGTCTCTACTCTCCTTAAGGAACATGAGATTTCAGATCATCTCAACTCTCAAATCTCTGAGTAAAATAAATAAGGTAACACAGATGTTAGGCAGATAGAATGCTTCCAATGAAAGTTCATCTGCAATGTCAAAGAAATTACAAAGTCGGCCGAACGTTGGTTAGCATACAAATTGTGGAAATTCAGGACTCAATAAAGAAATCATTTGTATTTTAGTTTTTTTCAGGAAAGGATAACTTGTAAAATTTGCTTTGTTTTAGCATGAAAAGTAGGAAACGGGGGAGAAAATCAAGATGAACACTGAAATAGGCTTTAACAGTTCCCAGAATGGGTTCAAAGTTCCTATTTCATCCATAAGGACCATGGGAGTTTAGATAAACTTTCAAGCAGACATAGAGTATAGCTAGCTATTTATCAGAATTTTGTTAACAGAATTGCTGCTAAATTTTCTTCCTGCATTCCAGTAAAGTACAGCCAATTTATTGCTCCCAGTTTTATCCACTATTTCCCGCTGCAGAGAGAGCATAAAACACCCCCAGAGGAAATGAGGAAACAGGCCTGGTGCAGTTTCCTTGATTCATATAGGAGTCTGGTCCTTCAGCAAGAAGTTCCTGGCCTGAGATCTTGCCTTGGACTTATGTTTCTCCTATGTCTGCCTCCCTGGTGCAGAATTTTCTGTGTCACTGCCGTCTGCTTATGTTGGTAAAACTGCTAATTCTGTCTGTGTTTATTCTGTCCCTTTCCTGCATCTTGTCATGCTAGATCTCATCCACAATCTGGTTACTTACCCTCCCCTGAAGTCTCCTACAATGAGCTGTAATTTTGAGCATCTTTCAGACTTGTCTCCTCCAGAATCAGACAAATTAGTTTCTCTTATTTTTAAGCTGATTCCCAAGAAGGCTGTAAAGACTAGAGGTATTGGGTCTTTATAAGATTGTTGAGGTGGTGGATTCTTTGTGACATTGTATAAAAACATCAATATTATAAAGCAAAACTCTGTATAATTATGACTGATGATGCCCTCTCTCCATTTAAGGTTCTCTGTGTTCAAAATGGACAAGGTAAGTGAGAACATATGCGATCTTTTAAATGTTACATACAGGTGATAGGAGAGACACATTTCTTTCATTTCAACAAGTGACCTGATTCATATACCCTAAAAGTAGGGTCTGCAATGATCACACGTGTAAGATATGGACAAAAGCAAGCACACAGCTTTACTTGA